AATAACATTTTTTTATGCAATTTATTTTTTTGATTTATTAATATCGCCATTATCTTAATCATATGTTTTAAACTTTAAATCAGTTTGAAAAAATAAATATTTAAATTGAAGGAAATCGACCAAATTAAGGCATATTAAGATTTTGATTTTGTAATAATAATAGTTATGTTATCAACCCACGAATAACCTAAATAAACTGTTTCAAAAATATGATAAAAAATTTTTAAAAAAATGATTTTTAAAAACCGGTTTTAACCGGTAACCGATTACCAAAAATTATAATCAACGGTTTTTAAACGATTAACGGTTATCATAGTGTTTGAAACATCTTTAAAGAAACTGTTACCGGTTTCCAAAATATCAAAATTAAACGATAACCGGTTTCCGGTTTTCAAAATTTTTCGGCTCCTACCGGAGCCGATTACCGACTTCATTGATAACGGTTTTAAGCCCTGGTTTATACCATCATACAGTTGTTATTTACAACCGAATTTTTCGGCAGAGCTGACCCGTAATCGTAATTCGTTTCCATTTTTTTTTTCATTTACTTATTTGAAATATGGTGTTAAGCAAACACTATATTTAAATTTGATAATATAGGTCAATTCAATTTATTATTAAAATCAACATGACAAACTTTGTTTTGCTTAACACAAATTTAAGTATGTGAAGTATAGGTACTTAATACATTGGAAAGCGGGCTTGATGTCCTTTCAAAGCCAACTATTTTACAAACTCATCATTTTTTAATTATTTTTTACTAACCATTATCTATTTTGTATCAAGCTAAGGAGGATTGTTTGAGTAAGTATTATTATATTTTATCTTATAACATACATATTCATTACACATGTAACATGTATAAGTACCTACATAAACAGGGGGTTCCACTTTAATCATAATGTGATCACTTTTCTACTGTATAATTATAATTTATATACAAGTAAGTTGGATAGGTATTTTAATTTTATGCAAATATGAAAAATAAATTATTGATCGCTAATTTTTAAGTTGTATCGGAATCGTGTATTATTTATAATTATTTTTTTCAAACATATGTATACCTAGGTACAGTATGTTAGTTTTATTAAAAAGGGAACCGCTCTGAAAACCTGCAGGTTTTGCTTGAACCGTCGTCTACGGCATTAAGCGACTTTGACTCCATATTTTTCCGACATTTTCCTTAGGTCTTATTGAACTTTTCAACGATTTACAATAAATGAACTTGTTTGTATGATAAAATAACATAATATGAAATTTACCTACTTGTGTTTGATTAGAGTGTTATATAATCTTATTATAGTATGATATTAATAAATTATAATTTAAAATTATTTCATGTTATAACTTTATAAGACGTAATATTATTTATATTTTTATTTTAATGTTAATATTTACGTAAAAAACAATAAAAATGAAATTTATAATTATTTTAACTCGGTGGATTATTTTTAAAGCAACTGAAAAAGTTATTTCAAATGTCGATTAAGCTAGTTTCAATTTAAGTTCATAAGTTGATTTGAAAATTAACTAAATATAGTTCTAAGTTAAACTTTTAATAAAAATTAAGTTTTTAACTAATTTATGCCAACTATTTGACTATTTTTTAAAGTTAAAAAATACGGATTCATGTCAGTTCCTGAATTCAACAATTCGTTTAGCTTGTAATACAATTAAAAAATAAAACGCTGCCTAAATATTAATGCTGGATAGTTTGGGATTATCTAGATTCTAGAGATACAGTTCAACAGTTGAAGACACCTGTATTTTAGTTGCACTACTTGTACTTCAGTTAAGGAAGTAAAAATTTAAATATACGGTACCTATTAAAGATAAATAATAAATCAAACATTTATTGTTTGTCAAAATAAACATAAGTAAGTAAATAAACTAATATTTACAACCGATATCTATGAGAAATTACTATACATATACTTACGTCTTTAGTGTAAGTATATAATATAATATTATGTAACGATTACTAATTTAACTCTTACTATCATAAAATTTGATAGTTGTAGGTATAAACATGAAATACCTACATAGATAACTATTTTATAACTATAATTAAAAAAAATTAGATAAGTGGGTCACTGTAATGGATGGTATTAAATTCGAATTCAATGATATAATATCATTGTACAAGAAAAACGATTCAGAGCGAAAACGGTCAGTCAGCTTATGATATTACTAAGTATATTTGATAATATTTAGGTGAATAAATGGTTATTTGTATATAACATATTTACGTGGAACTTTGTTATACATTTTCAATCCTTAGCTATAAAAGTTGAACATTTTATACATTTTTAACTACAAAATAATTATTAAATTTTAAATTTGATAAATTTTGTTGAAATTCAAACTTTAAATGGTTATAAAAATAAATTGAAACTATGTAGGTTTTGTTAATATTACTCAACTGCTTTTGTAACAGTATATCAGGAGCCTTGCATTCAATTTTCACGCTTTTTTAAAATTTTATTGATATTTATAGAAAAAAAACTAAAAAATTTGAAAACTCACAATGTCCGTCAATAGCTCAAAAAGAGTCAATTTATTTTCAAAATTGTGTGGTGTATAGAAAATGCTTATATAAACATTCAGTGAAATTTTCAAGTATCTACAGTCATTCGTTTTTTAATTACAAGATAAGAAAATCGTTACATGAGCAATCGAGTGAATACTAAATGTTGTAAAAATATAAATTTCTAACGCTCATAAAAATTTAATTTGACTTTCTTGTTAACATTTTAATTTTGATAAAGGTAGACAAACTTATGAAAAGTCTTGTATTACATTTTCAAATCTTAGATTTAAAAAGAAATTTTTTTATGAATTTCTAGCTCAAAATAAGTCAAAATATTTGGAAAATGTTATTTTGTATAGAAAATGCTAATATAAACATTCAGTCAAAATTGCATGTACCTACGGTCATTTGTTTAAGAGTTGTACCAAAAACCAAAATCGATTTTCTGGAAAACAGATTTTGAGTAAAAAATCCCGTTTTCCCTTAATTTTTCTTTTGTTTTTCACAGTGCTTTTGAAAAATACTGTCAAATTTTTACTTTTAACCTCCCAAAGAACCAACTAGATTCACTTTCTCTAGTAGAAAAGATACTGTTGAAATAAATATAAGCATTTTTACTGTCCTAAAAGGAGGTGACAGACACAAATAAAAAAAAAGGTGGGCAAGCGGGTGTCGCTCTGCTGTACAGTAGGTTACAAGTGGGTCACTGTATAATGGATGGTATTAAATTTGAATTCAATGATATAATATCATTGTATAAGAAAAACGATTATGAGCGGTGACGGTATGTCAGTCTATGTATAAGACATATTATAATATACATATCTATGGTATTAAACAAAAAATTGACCTATAATAAATTCCAAATTAATCATATCACAATATCCATTAGATACTTATAACGCGTTATACATCAACAAAAACCGTGATACTATCATGGATAATATATAATAGTACACTTTAGAAGTTTCAAGTACCCACGAATAATATTATTCAATCACAACAAAATAACTAAAATAGTTATTCTAGGTTTTTTAATATGTAATTTCGTCCAAATTTGAATTTAAAATGTCTGTAAAAAATAAGTGTGTTCTTAGATTTTTGGTTATAGTATGAACTATTTATGAGAACCTTTGTGTTGAATTTGTAATCCTTAGCTATAAAAACTGAACATTTTATAATTTATTAATTACAATTATTGATAATTTTCGAGATTTTGATAAATTTTGTCAAAATTTGATCATTAAATGCTTATAAAAAAAAACTGTGCCTATGTATTTTTAATATTTTTCAACTGCTATTGTAACAATATATCAGGAGCCTTGTATTAAATTTTTACACTTTTTGGCCCAACAGATAAAACTTTATTAATATTTATAGAAAAAAAAACTAAAAAAAATTGAAAGCTGTAAATGTCCATAAACAGCTCAAAAAGAGTCAAAATTGTATGGTGTATAGAAAATGCTAATTGAAACATTCAGTGAAATTTTCATGTATCTACAGTTGTTCGTTTTTGAATTGCAACAAAATAAGGAAATCGCTACATGAGTAATCGAGTGAATATCCAATGTTGTAAAAATTTGAATTTCAAACGCTCATAAAAATTTAATTTGACTGTCCGGTAGAGATTTTTTTATTGATAAAGGTAGATAATCTTATAAGGAATCTTGTGTTTCATTTTCAAATCTTAGATTTAAAAAGAAAAATTTTTACGAATTCTTAACTCAAAATAATTTGCTAATTTTCGTGATTTTTCCATATTTTGTCAATTTTTGAACTTTAAATGCTTATAAAAAAAAATTGTGACTAAGGATTTTTAATATTTTTCATCTGCCTTTGAAACAATATATTAGGAGCCTTCTATTAAATTGTCAAGCTTTTGCAACCAACAAATAAAATTTTATTGATATTTTTAGAAAAAAAACTAAAAAAAAAATGGAAAATGAAAATGTCCCTAAACAGTTCAAAATAAATCAAAATATTTTGAAAATGTTATCGTGTATAGAAAATGCAAATATAAACAACCAGTGAAAATTTCATGTATATACGTTCATTTGTTTTAGAGTTACACCAATAACCAAAATCGATTTTTTGGAAAACCAATTTTGCGTAAAAATTCCCGTTTTTCCTTAATTTTTATGTTGTTTTTCCCGGCGCTTGTGAAAACTACTGGGAAATTTATACTTTTGACCCCCCAAAGTACCAACTAGATTCACTTTCCTATCAGAAAAGCTACTGATAAAGAAAATCCAAGCACTTTTACTGTCCTAAAACGTGATGACAGAAACAAAAAAAAATAAAAAAATATAAAAACACACATCATTGTAAAACCAATACATTCATCGCTCCGCTCAGAATCTAAAAAAAAAATTGAAAACACACATCACTGTAAAATCAATACGCTCCGTTCAGAATCTAAAATATTATAAATATTCATTGTTATTTGAATTATTATATGTTTACAGGTCAAATGGTAGTGGTTGGGATGATATATGAAAGATATGGTAAGTATTTAATTTAGATGTTTCAATATCAAAACAATTTTTAACAGTAGGTATATTATTAGTATCATACTAATAGTATGTCATTCAATGTTTATACTTAATAGGACGCTATACAGTAATTTGTTGTCTCCGTCTTAAAAGTGCTTAACATTGCAAATTTACGCACAGCAGATCACGTTTATCTCCGTTAGTTAAAAAATTAGAGTGAATCAACCTATTATGAAACTTGAAGGCAAGAACATTATCTGTGTTTGTATGTGGGTTTTACAATATAATTCAGTTTTTAGGCAAGTTATGAGCATTTTCTAATTTAAGGTATCCAGCGTGACGGTAGTTGCGTGAAACTAAGGAAAAAAAATAGAGGAGTAGCCACTAACGTATAATAATTAATAACAGGAGCTCGAGTTTTAAAGATGAAAAACCATCCTAATTTATGTCAATTCTTTGTCAACCTCTACAGGGCAAACGGCTGAACATATAAAGTCGTATAAGGTATCAATCGATCAGAATAATTATGCAGATGGGAACAGAAGAACTCGCTAGCAGATTGGTTAGATAGTTTATGAGTTATATGCAAAAATGTTCAAGTACTTTTAGAATAAATTTTGCGTACGACGACGTACGACGATTGGCGATTGCGACGGCGCGGTCTCTCGGATGCCGGTCACCCGCAACCATATTATGAGCATGACAAAGTAATATTATAAAATGGCATTTTAATTAGTTTCCATATTATATTACGTCTTTTAAAGATTTCATCATTACTAAATTTATTTATTTTTTTAACTTAGCTTTTTTTTACACGGAGTTATACCTAACGAAGTGTTTTTGGTGTGATATTATATACGCATAGCATACTAAAAAATTGAACAATCGTAAAAAGGCCACATACAAACACTGATAATGTTCTTACCGTCAAGTTTCATAATAGGTCGATTCACTCTAATTTTTTAACTAACGGAGTTAAACGTTATCTGCTGAGCGTAAATTTGCTATGCTACGCACTTGTAAGGAGGTTACAACAAATATATGTGTAACGTCCTCTTAATACTCTTACAACTTAAAAGTAATAATATACTACATACCTATTTTGTGTATTCATATTATGCATTACTATTTCCTTGCAATAAGCTGAAATCGAGAAATTTTACAACAACATAAATATTATAATTTAGGCGATTTTTACAACGATTCAAATTTTACTATAAACCAGCTTAAACTTTGGGGTAAGTATATACATTCATTATTTATACAATTATACTTGATAATTTTAAGGTTCGTGTCATTTTATCATCTATTTCGTACCTATTTTTATGGGTTTTAATCCCATATATAGGTAGATACTAGATATTTTCCATATTTTGTACCTACCTATCTGTGGTTTTCATCAGTAGTCTGTCAACTGTCGAGCTTAATGAATAATAATTGTATAGTTTGGTTATTAAGTAAAGAGTCTTTGTAAACTTATATTCAGTTCAAACAGTCCTTTATTTCGGATACTCAATATAATAATAGTATGACTTGAAACGCTCCCGTTGCATATTAAATGACGCTGTGGTAAGGTTAGTGAGAGGTGGAGTTAGTAGGTACGTACTGGTGACTCGCTTTCCACGTATCATAATTTATTATTGTTGTATCGCACTGCAAGAGATCCAAATGGTGTTGTTTTTAAATAAATAGTTGAACACAATTTTCAATAATGAATAAAATGATACTGGAAAAAAATTAATAAAAAAGACAGTTCCGGAGTGGACTATATTTGAAAGCGTGACAATAAAAATAAAAATTATCAAACCCATAGTACAATAAAAATTAAATAATAATATTATATGTATTTATCGTATTAGGTACAAATGTGAAACAGATAATACAAATATACAATAGAAAAACATACTTCGTTGCGTGTAAAAATTGACAACTCTTAAAAATAATAATACTGTTGTCCCGAGATAACGTTAATTGTCTGCCTGTAGAGTGTAGACCGTCGGCTGGCCGCCGTCGCCGTGGGTCGAACAGACTGTCAGTGATGAATTTAATTAGTTTAATTAGATGAGTTTAATGAGTACCAGATGAAGTAAGACGGAGTTCCTTCTCTTCATCGAGATGACGTGTTGTTTGACTGGGTAAAAAGTTGATACTTTTTAGAAACTATGCGATGTTGTTTGAAAAAACTGATGAAAATACGAGAAGTGGACAAGTGGTCCAGAAAAAGAAATAACAGTGGCACGCACTGTTTCATTATAGCCACTCATCGCCGTTGTTCACGATCCGACGTAGTCGGAAGGCCCATCAGGGTAGTTGAGTTGCACTTACTGCAGCGAGTTACGCCCAAAAGGAGTTGTACAATCACAATATTTTTAGAGAGTTGTAATTTCTTACGGGCCACGATTCATGAAGTGTGCGGGATTAGCTAGTTATATATATATAAAGCAATCGATTCTTCGGGACTTGTAGGGTGTTATAGCTTATTTTTCCAATCCCTATATGCTATATAGCTAAAGGGTAGGTGGTAGCTAACACATGATTTTTTCAGCTCACTAGAAAATAATATTTTTTTGTTTATTTAAATAATTGCCATTACATGTTATGTGATTATAATATATTGTATTGCTATTATAACCAAACTATTTTCAAGATAAGAATGCACCCCGCTCGCTCATCTGGTGAAACCTTATCTTGAAAATAATATAGTAGAAGTATGACACAAACATTTTTCACAAACATATTTATAAAGAAAAAAAACCTTAGACTTCAATTATATTATATTTTATTCATATTGTATTACTTGTATTGCTTATTAGTTCAAAATGAAACCTACCGTGGCTCTGCTGGTAAGTAATTGTAATTAATGTTCTATATAGACTAGGTACAATTATTATTGTTTAAAATATTGTATTTCAATACAATAACTATTTAAATTCTTAAGCATTTATAGTTGATAAATATATGTTATCATATGATTGTGCATCTAAATAAAAAAAATGCAAAATTCAAGCTAATGCATTACTTTCTTTTAGTGTATGTGAACAGATTCTTAAGTTATTGTAGAACAAGTAAGAATTATAAAACTGATTACACCACATACATATTATGACATATATTATAAATCATAATATTTTATAATTGATTAAAAATTAAAATACACTAAATAGTTACCAAAAATTGGTTCTATAATTATATTCAATCCCAAAAATAAAAATGAATTTAAGTCAAACTGTTTTTATTTTTTAGATGGATATGAAAAGACGGCATTAGATTATTGTAGAGGTTTACCTAGTACATAAAAAATATAAATTTTTTATTATATAATTTCATGTACTTTTAATAAATTATGATGGTTAAATGTGAGAAAATTCGTACTTTATTAAATAAGACGATTTTATATTGTTATGATTTATATAATATATAATATATTTATTACTTATCTATAATAATAACACTTATTAGATATAATAATAACATCTATTTATTTGATAAAACATAATTATTTTTCTATATTATATTAATTTTAATATAGTCTCACCATCATAATAATGTATACCTCTTTTTTTTTTTTAATAATATTTGCAGATGCCGTTATATTGACGGTATCTAATTAACATATTTAGTATTACTTTTAATTTCACAATAAAATTGATGAATTAATAAATCTACATTTTATTTAGTTTATTTAATTTACATTAGACCTGTTAATTTTGTATAAAAACACCTATAGGATTAAAAGAAAATAATTGGAGCATTAAATAAAATTAGTCAAAAGTTTTATTTTCCCCACTCGGAATTGTGATATCAATGGAAGAACTCTTCACCCACACACAATTAACCCAACACCCATCGTACATTCGCACAGCACTTGTCAAAAAAAAAAATTGCGCACTAAAAGATAAAACTGTATAGTGGGGGGGGGGGCGTAAATTAAATCTTATTAGATACTAAATATCAATACCTCGAACAGACAACCATCTATTTCTTATGGATAGGTATATCTACCTGTCTATACTAATATTATAAAGCTGAAGAGTTTGTTTTGTTTATACGCTCTAATCTCAGAAAGGATTTAATTCATCAAGGAAGGCTACAGACTGTATAACATCATGCTACTATTATTAAATTAATTGGTATACCAATTAATAGAAGTGATCGAACAGGGATTTTGAGATTTACGATGGAAACATTTGTTTATAAATGGTTGCTATTGGTTTTAGGAGAAATAATTAATGGCATAATTTATTTATCATTGGTTGCTATTGTTTAATCGGGCAGATCAGGTAGAAGCATGCATCAAATTGAATTTTCACACATTGCCTACCAGAGTGGCTGATTTGCACTTACTGCAATGAGTTACACCGAAAAGGAGTTGAAAAATCAAAATTATTTTTGTCATTTTTTACCGGGCACAAAGTGCTCAGGATCAGCTATATTATATACAAATGAATGTTTGTGTACAGATCTCTGAGAAGAAAATAGGCTAGGTAATTAAAAAAATTTTTTTTTTATTCATCAGATTTTAGTACGGTTAGGTTAGGTTAGGATTATGTATTAATTTATTATACTAATCCACAGTATTATATCAAAATAAACTTAATATAACTTTGATACTTAAGAGTAAAATCACTTAGGTATCTACGTCAATTATGCATAAACAACACTGAGTTCGCGATCTACCGCAGGTAGATTGCCTACTTGATAATATACTGCTGCGAATCAGAATTTTTATTCCAGGCAGCAGAAAAGTTAAGATAAATTTTGAATACCATACACCGAATATTAAATATCGAATTGAACAAAGTTTAAGTCATATAGAGTTGGTACATTTAACGGGGAACGAAGTGCACAGGATCATCTAGTATTATAATATATTAATATAGTCAGTATAGTGGTGATTATACAATACATATTTCTTAGTTTAAGAAACACTGCCATACACTTGAGCTGTTATTTTTTTTCGATTTCATCACATCGATCGAAATGTACAATATATTATACAAAAATAAAATATTTACTTTATAGTATTATAATAATAAACACACAAAAAATGGTTATGTTTAAATTTAAATAATCTTACTAAAGTCAACAAATTAAAAAGACGTAAAAACATTGTATCTGTACTTAGTCCACAAAGTGAGTTACGACGGAGGTACCTACTCTATATTTTATTTTAGCACGTTCCCAAGTTGTCATGTACAGCAACTAGATGGTGCTGGAATGACGGGATTACTATAATATTATTATTATAATGTTAGTATTTTTTTTTAATACAATTATGCGACATTGTAGTAATTAATTATTATAATATAACATATTATTGATTTAAATCAACTATAACATTTGGATGTGCACATGGCATTAGGTCATATTGTACAGCATTAAATATAAATTAAGTAACTTTTGACTGCCAATATATAATATTAACTCATCACTAGTAATTAAACGTTTTTAATAAAATATAACGTAAATAAAATTATTTAAACATATTTTAATCGCTAGTTGACTTAAGTTTTTAATTACTTACTTAACAAAATTAATTTAGTTTTATATGTACTTGGAGATTATTTGGAATTTGTCAAGGAAAGTTTCTTTTTTGAAAATAGATAACAACCGAAAAAGTAATTAGTATTTCTTATATTATATTATATGCGTGATAAATTATTATTATATGAATTTGTTTTACAATGTTAGTGTTTTGTAAAAAGTTAATAATTTTTATTTTTAAGGATTTAAATAAGGTAATAAAATATTACATATTTTATCTAAAGTAGCCTTATGATATTGTTGGGTACGGATCCGTCACACGTCTCGCGGACTTCGGTCGACCGTTCGTCGTTATCGGCCTACACCCCACCACGAGCACACGCGCTTCATACAACACCATCCCGCCGTTGTCGCGCGTTTTGTATTGTCGCCGTTGCGTTGTTGTCCGCCGTCCGTCGTTCGTGGCTCAGCCATCTTGGCTCGTTCGTCGTAACGAAGTTGTGTTTCTTTATGGCCGTCTGCGCCGAAACCACCGCCCGGACATATTTTGAGTCCGTTTTCGTGTCGTGTCCTTGTGCATACATACGAATTGTGTTTTAAGGCCGTTTTGCGCCAAAACAACCGTTTTTTTGCCGTCCGATCGTTTCGCCGTGCGACCCCGAGCCGTGCACCTACACGTCCACGTGGTTTCCGTCCGTTCGCTTGACGCAGTGCGAAATCACCGAACGCGGTGCGCTCACCTAGTTTTTTTTGTATTGTTGTGTCGTTGTGGACGACGTCCGTCCCGCAACCCGAGCCGTGCTCAGAATTTGTTAAGCTACATTCGCGCCCACGTGGTTTCGTCCGCCGTCGTTACCGGCCGCATATACGTGGTGTCGTCGTACCTGTTCGTCACGTTCGACGTAGGTGCAAGTGCTGCACACCAGTTCAACGTCCGTTGTCACCGTCTCACCGTCGAACCGGGTCAGTTGCCGCACTCTCACCGTGGTATCATCGAACTTTCATCGTATCAGGTCGTACACACGTTTATCTTGTTTGTTATTGTTTACATTTATTACTCGCATTACGCAACCCATACGTTTTTTTGTATTATTATATATTGAATTATTATAGTAGTTTTTTGCCGATCGAGTTGTGATCGTGCCATGACAAATACTATTACTAACACTAGTACGTAAGATATTTGAACTTGCAGAACACAACAATAAATTGTTCTGCACCATATATTTATGTAAAACCATTGTTGTCATTTAGATTAGACATCCCACTCATCCCCTTAGCATTCATACAACCTCAAAATACAGTCCACTCTCTCATCCTCCTCCCCACCGATAGAACGTCGAGGAATATTATACCTACGAAGACAACGAACGCGTCGGTTTACGTGTAGCTGCCGCCTGTGCACACACATCCAGGTACATCCGTCGCCCGGCTTCCTTGTGCAGCCCCCTTCTTCGCACATTTTTTGGTCCTTCGGGCCGGATAGTTCACAAAATCGTTGTCTTTCGTTTCAAGTTGTTCTTGTATTTTTTAACGTTGCACTAATATTTTTCGATAATGACAAACAAAACTAAAAAAAATGAAACGGCCGAGCAAGCGTTGGAATGTGCGCGTATTGCACGTAACCGCGCACAAAAATCAATTTCGGATATTTTGAACATCGCGAGGCTATCTATGAGCGATCCTGGAAAACGAGAACAATTATCCGCAAGTGTAAAACGTTTAGATAATCATTTTTCTCGTTTTCAAGCCGAACAAAATGTTATCATTAATTCATTGGTCGTTGTCGGTCGTTCCGATGAATACGAATCGATCGATTCACCCGTAATGGATACCGTCGAAGCCGTTGTCGACGAAATTCGCGAAATTGTTGATCGAACGTCTGAAGTAACCGCGGCCATACAACCGGTACCTACTCGGCAATCGTTTAGTGCACTTCCGAAAATTGAATTGCCGTCGTTCGATGGGTCCATAACAAACTGGTGTGCGTTCCGTGATAGTTTTAAATCGCTTGTACATGAAGATTCCAATGTCGATAATATACACAAATTTCAGTTGTTGTCACAGAGTCTGACCGGTTCTGCATTATCCGTAATTAAATCTATTCCGTTGTCGGCGGCGAATTATAACGTTGCGTGGGCAGCGCTCACCGACCGATTTGAAAATAAACGTTTGCTCGCAACTGCTCATTTGGACAAGCTTTTCGCTTTCAAACCTATCGCTCAAGAATCAGTACCAGCTTTGACTACGTTTTTAAATATTTTTAAAGAAAATGTCTGTACGTTAAAATTACTCGGAGTTGAAGATCTCGCGGGTTTTATGTTGTTTTTTTTGGGTTCACGTGTATTAGATCCGAACACCCGTCAATTGTTTGAAGCGGATATTTGTCAATCCACTATTCCGAATTTTGATACTCTCATCACCTTTGTTCAAAAACGTATAAAAATATTGGAGAACATACAGGGCGTCGCCAAGACTGAAAACCGATCTAATAAATTTCAAAAACCTATAGCATCGAAGTTAGTACTTACTACCGCGAGTAAACCTATTCATAAGAATAAAAGCCTATCGTCGTCTTCGTCAAAATTGAACAAACCTAAGAACTGCACTCTTTGTAATCGTGGTGAACATTTTTTGTATCATTGTCCGGAATTTAAGACATATTCCGTATCACAACGTCGGGAATACGTCAAAGAAAATAAACTGTGTTTTTCGTGTATGAGTTCAACACACATGGTGGACACATGTAGATCCAAATACCTTTGTGGTAAATGTCAGCAACGCCATCACTCTTTGTTACATTATCCATCAG